TCCATCCATCCATCCATCCATCCATCCATCCATCCATCCATCCATCCATCCATCCATCCATCCATCCATCCATCCATCCATCCATCCATCCATCCCTTTTTTAGGCTTCGCGTTCGCGGTGGGTAGTATTTATCTTAAAAGTAAGAACTACCCATAAAATGACCGATTCTATATATCTCTAAAATTAATAGAATATGAGACAAATATCGAGCATGCCCTGATTAGTTGAGCCCGAGTGTTGCAAGCCGCACACGGGAGCGTGCATGCACGTGCAGGTGCGCCGAGTCCCGTTGTTCGCCGGTGCAGTCCCTGCGGCTCGGCCGCCGCTGCAGCGCGCGCTGGAGCTCCTGGACCAGAGCCTCGTGAGCTGCGGCTGTGCACCGGGCAGGCCCAATCGCTGTAAGGTAAACCTACTTAACGCCCTTCGTGTCTGTCCCCGTCCTTTCCTTTCACCCCCCCCCCCTCTTTCCCCCCGCTTCCTCTCCTGCCGTCACGACACCAATATTTACAGAATTCTCCTGTGTGTCCTGCCGGTCCAGCCGCCGCGTTGTTGCTCTCTGTCTCTCCCCCTCTCTCTTCGTCCCTCTCCGTCTCTCAATCTCTTTCTCAGAATTGGGCCACGTTAGCGACGCCGTAGGGCTACTGCCGAAAAAAAAAGAGACGGCTAACATTTTTCTTATGGCAGACTTAAGCCAGCGGTGGACCACAGACGAGAATTGCCTTAAGTGACTCGAGAGAGGGAGAGAGACAGGTGGAAAAAACAACTCCGACCAAATCATTCATTCATCTTGTCTCCTCTGGGAAAAGTGTCATCCAGTCACTGCGAAAGATATTCCCCTGATTATTATTTTTTGCGGCCCGGCGTCGTGGCTCGGCGTGGCTTGGTATGCCGCGATGCTGTATACATTTAGCGAGGCCCCAGGCCAGACCCGTTCTTGTTGTGTTCGGCGGGTAACAAATGACTCCCCCGTTCGCCCGCTTCCTCTTACCCCCCGCAATTAATATCGACTTATCGGGTAAGTCTCGCGGTAATGTAGACGCGGATGGGGTGAGCAGGTGGTTGGTTCAGTGTCCTCGGCCAATCGCGACAGCGCAGGCAGCGACAGCCATTTATCACGGCGTCACTTTAAGTCGCGCCGC